ACCCTTCCTCGTCATTCACCATCACCACCACCACCACCATCAAGATAACCTCTTCCACCTCCTCCTCCTCAGACAGTGAAAGGAAGAATCACAAAGTCTCTAATGTGTTAAACTCCGAGCATGATACGTACATGCCGGCATCACATGTCGCGGATGGTTTTTTATAGGTGTCGAATAATCGACCCGTCCGTCTAAGTCAAACTTTGCTCGCACACACACACACACACACACACACACACACACACACACACACACACACAGTGCACACACGCACACACACGTACACACATACACACACACACACATACAGGCACACACAAGTACAGACACACACACACACACACACACACATACACACAGACAGCTAAGCTGTTTACACATTTGTTTTGCTTTCAGATTTTTGTCTTCATTATGCCTCCAAACGATCTTAAGGACTTTTGCAAACACGACCCAGATCTACACACTTACTACTTTACTTTTACTTTTTTCTTCCGCTTGTACCCTGGGGTGTCTCGAGGAGACACAGGCGTCTGTCTGCAGCAAGTCGTGTGGCCTGTAGGAGGGACATCCCGTGAGCTCTAAGGGTGTCTGCCACAGATTCACTCCATCGTCGCCTTGGTCTTCCTCTGGCTCTCCATCCAGAATATTTAGTGTTGTATGCTCTCAGAGCTGGATGGTTTGAGGGCATCTGCGTGAGGTGTCCGAACCACTTGACCTTTTTTGTTTTTCAATGTGTGGTAGGACTGGTGTTGCTCCCATGGTGTCCCTTATGACTTCATTTTTAATTTTGTCTCTTCTTGTTTTGTTGACCGCTCTTCTTAAGCATTTCATCTCGCATGTGACCAGTTTCCTCTCTAGGGCTTTTGTTAGGGACCATGTCGGCACTAATATGTGAGCGTTGGAAGGAAAATGGCGTTGATGAGCTTCGCCTTGGTGATCATGGGGATATTGGGATGTTTCAGGATCTACACACACTCACACAAAAAAATAAGATAAAAAAACCCCACGATAAGCACGTTTAGATCTAGCATTGTCCATGGTTAGAGCGTGACGCTGATGGGCTCTTCTTGCTCTTGTTCGTGTTCTTGTTCTTGATCTCCTCCTCCTCCTCCTCCTCCTCCTCCTTCTTATTCTTCTTCTTTTTCTTCTTCTTCTATTCTTTGTAGTTTCTGCCTGTCTGACTGACTGACTCGTTCATTGCACTAAATGACCACTAATATGTCGACATGTTCAAACAAACCGCTTGCAAGTGATGTTTATCTGTTCTTCTCACGAAGCTATGAGGAAAAAAAACACATTACATACTCGTATTTATGAGGGTGTTAATGAACGTGTGTATGCGTTCTAGTCTGTGTGCGCGCGTGCGCGCGCGCGTCACGCGCGTGTGTGAGTGTGTATGTGTGTGTGTGTGTGTGTGTGTGTGTATGTGTGTGTGTGTGTGTTTGTGTGTGTGTGTATGTTTGTGTGTGTATGTGTGTGAAAGTATTTTACATGTGGGTGTTTTATTCCCCACTGACGCAACTTAGATCATTTAGGAGGCGGGCTTCTACGCTAAGACAGCTAATTTCAAAATCCAAAATGCTATAAATTTTTTTCGTAACTTCTAAACACTTAAGTGCCAGATGATAGAATTAGGCAGAGTAACCCCCCCCCCCAAAAAAAAAAAAACAACAACAAAAAACCCCCAACAAAAAACAAAAAACAAAAACAAAAACAAAACAAACAAACAAACAATAAAAGCAAAAAACCAACAGCCCACAACAACAATAAACAACAACAAAAACAAAAATAAAAAAACTTCTTCAGCAGAAAAACCGAGATACTCGATAAAACTTCTACCCACACCGGAAACGAACCAGGTCTTCTGCGTGCGACAAAGAAGCTCCGTACGTTAGTACATGTATCATGCAAGACCAAGGTGCAAATGACCTTGGTGGGAATCTAAACGGCTGTTCGTGAGGCGTTATAACTTATAGCGCTTCGCCGTTTCACACGGGAGACTCGAGTTCGATTCCCGAATTTTCATGGAGTATCTCAAACGTTTTGCTGGGATGTTGTATTTTTCTCACCCTGGGTTGGCCCTGACATGCAAGGTCAGAAGCTTGCCTCCTAAATTACGTAAATTGTGCCGATGGGGTGTAAAAGATTCCAACATAAAAAAGGAGAAGTTTAAAAAAAATGCTGTCGCTGAGAGTATTAATTATTTGATTCTTTTCTGTTTTTCACATTCGTTATCCCAGTACATGGTACGAAAAAGCTTACTTAGCACTTCTTTCTTTTATATTTTCATTATGTCACCGTCATTCATCTTTATCGTAAGTCAAAATACGAGGTTTTCAGAGTAGCGAAAAAGATGCTTTATTTCGTTTAGGACAATATCATAAAACTAAAAGTTTAATTGTCTAAATCGATAAATATTTGAAGAAGAAGGATGAGCTAAGGACCACTCGATGTGCTTCATCAAACTCCATGGCATATTCGATTTTCAATTTTTTCCAGAATAATGAACTATGTCTGGCCAAACAAGCCGACAGCAGATAAAGAAAAACACAGGAGAATAAACGGACTGATTATCGTCATCTAGCAGCTCGCACCCCTTCTATCTCATCCAAACATCTCCAGGGACACAAGAGACAGCTTATCACTTGAGTGCTTATACCAACATTATGGTACCAGTGCCAGACCAGGGCATTACGTAATACCCATGAAAACAAAATCAGTGCATGCGAGATAAAAATGTCTCCGCAAAACACTTACCATGGCAGGAAGAGACAGGAAAAATAAAGAAGTAAGAGCAACTTCTGGCACGGACTTCCGCCTGCACTTCATAGAACGGAATAAAATGGTCCGACCTCCTGTTACGAATATCACCTAGCCAGCTAGCCTCGAGAGTCTGTAACATCAAGTACTCAGGCTGCAAAGGAAGAGGTAGACTACGCAAAAGATGGATTGAGAGAATCAAGGAGAGCCTGAGAAATTATAATATCCCAAAATAAAAGAGCTGCAGAGCTGGAAATACCTAAGAAAACTGTATCTCCCCTCGGCGCATAACGGCAACAGAGGATGAAAAGTAAAAGTAAAGTAAAAAAAATACAAAACTAAAAAGTAAAAGTAAAAGTCACACGTACAACGTTGAATGACTGACATGCAGGTAATTTCAAAGTAATTTGACCCAGCCTTGAAAAACACTGTACGCAGTTTAGATCCCCTTTTTTGACCCCAGGCGGCAGACTGGCACGTCTCACTTGAACTTGAAAAAACCCTGGCCCAAATAAGTTTACATTACTGAAAACGACGACAGACCTGTCTTACTCATCGACATAAATACACTTTGGCCTTAATGTATTTTCTGACATGTCAAAAAGGGTGTCATTTTTTTGTGACGGAGCACCCGACTAGATTCAAAGCACAACTGAATATCCCACATCGGATTGTTCAATTATAAAAGGAGCAGATTGTAAAACGATTTATCTTTACAAACTTTACTCTGTGGGGAGTGAAATGCTGAATGGAAATACAGTCGAACCTGCTCTAAAGGCTATCTACCCAAAAGAATCGTCGGCAAAGGACAAATTCCATATTCCCCCAGTCTCCCCACTTACTGTCTTTTTTGCATTATAATGACCTTGTCCAAGACGGCCAATTGTCTAAGACAACCAATTTTTTCGAGGACAATAGGTGACCTTCCGTCTTGGATAGTTTTGCCTTCACACAGTTTTGCTTCACACAGTATGGGCAACGCTAACTCTCTTAAACAAAACTTTTGCACAGAAATAATATTGTGTGCAGTGACGATTCTATTATTAAATGACAACCTCTGCAACAACAACCGGAGTGGGTGGTTAGTGGGTGCTCTGGTGTGGTTTGCCTCTTCTTTCGTATTAAACATCTGTTGTCTTTATCTATTTTTGTTGAAAGTGCCGCAAGACTCTCATTAAAACTAAATTAAACAACCACCAGCGTCAACGTTGTGTGGGTTTTTTGTAATTGTTGTGCCATTCACTGCAAACCAAGAAACCAATTTGACATTGACAACGACATCTAGGTTTCATCTCCAGATACAGATAAATATTTAATTAATCTTCCTGTACACATGGACACAAACTGGCGCAGCAAACCCAAACATCATCAACTCCCTCCCCTCCCCTTCTCCCCCTTTCTCCCCATACCCCCTCCCCCAACACACACACACATACACACACACACACACACACACACACACACACACACACACACACACACGCAAACATGCTATGGCTCTCCAGCTCCCTCAAATTTTGATGTTACACCCGATGTACACTGCCAATAGGATTCATTATCTTATTTTAATGGAGCTAAGCCCGTTTGTGAGGTCAGTATACATTTTTTACACAGTTGCCTAAAAAATCCACAAAAATATGATTCAGTTAAGAATTGTCACAAAGGGTTACGTGGGCATATTTTCAAAGTCCGAAAACTACCTTTTGATTTTTCTGGTTTATGGTTTTACCTGTAAATCGAAGCTCACGGATGTTTTCACTTTGCCATTAGACATTTCATATTTTACTGAGGACCTTTCCGTTTCGGGCCGTGCTTCGTCGTGTGTGTGAGACAGCTGCTTCTACTGTTTCCAGAACTAGAATCTCAATATCCAACTCTGTTTGGATATGTGCTTCACAGTGTCGATACTTCAGGCGAAACTTCAAATGTATTGACTTTTTCTAGATACATTTCGTATAGTCACGCCCCCAACACGTTGTGTTCGTTTAGACCCGCAACATGTTTACTTCGTTGTATTGAAGCTTTCGAAATTTTGGCGCGCATTTGGTGCTTAGTTTTTTTAGAGCAAGACGCTAGAACTAGATCTAGATCTCTATATCCTAGATGTATAATTTGGAGTACAGAACTCAAGACTGATTTGGAGTAGTTTGCAAGACAGAAGCGCCGTTTATGCTTTGTGACTGAAGGGTCTTGGGTTTGAGCCCTGCCATTGGGCCAAAATTGTGTCCTTGGTGGAGGTATGTTGTATGAATTTTCCTCACTTCATCAGGCTGGAAAGATGTCTTGTAATTATTATGATTTTCCTCCAGGGATAGAGCAAAACCCCAGTATTGCACAATATGACTCAATTACACTAAATTCGACTGTGACCTTCAAAATCAAACACGTTTGCTTGTCAAGGTCGCAAACGATTTGTTGTGCCAAAATGGTAGCTTTTTCCCTTTCATGAAAGCAAATTCTAGCTAGCCCCGACTCAATCTATCGAATCCGATTGGTAGTATGAATGTGTGCCTGGCATTACGTGACCCAGCAAAAATTGCGTCGTAATTCTCAAGGGATATAAAGTCTCTTTTCTCACAACCTATTTGCTATCTTCACTCTGAGCAAACACATCTCCCTGATACTCCAGACCTGACTATTCTGAGACAAGACGAAAGCTCAGACTGCGGGAAGGTAGGTCTACCTTTGTCGAAACAACTTCCTTACAGCTAGATCTAATCTTTGAGAATGCTGCCTTACTTTGTTGTCGTTTTCGTTTTCAAATGAAGGAGTCCAGCGATAGTTAATTTTGAAGCAAACTAGCTGGGGTAAGTTTTAGGTTGTGAGATAACGGTATGTCGGAGTGTTATCATAAGAGTGAACCGTCGTCAATGTGTCTGTGATTTTTGCCTTTGGACCTGTGAGGAAGACGAGAAGAGTCGAGTTATTAAGGCTGCATACCGGCCATCCGAAATCACTTAAAAGCGCACTGTTTTGGGACACTTAAAAGAGAAACATAGCTTCCTTATTCGTACAGATTTTTCAATTTGTTTGTTTTTTTGTTTGTTTGTTTGTTTGTTTATTTTTGACTTAAAACGGTAGACAACAACATGCTTGCTATGGAACGTACAGTGTGTATGATAATTTGAAATATGTCTCAATATTGCCTTTGGTCTGTGCTGGTCGGACAAGTGTGTCCTGAAAGAGTTGAAGAGAAAAACTGAAATTAGTAATCAGATGTGAGGACATGGTATGTTTGGACAGTATTATAAAAGTAAACGGCGGCGATTTTTGACGCCAGTCTACTGCCTGCTTTTACCCTACATGGGTGACGGGGGTAACAAAGACAAACAAACAAACAAACAAACTGACAAACGAACACTTGAGCCGTGTGTTAGGGCTTTAGCTTTATGTATCTCTATGCAAGGGATCATCGTTATAAATAGGTTAGGTCTACTCTTCTTATTCTATCTTCTTCTTCTGCTCCCGTAGATTTGTCGTCCGTTGGGTCGCCTCTGACAGAAGACAACAAATCTCCTCAACTGCTCTCGGCTCTCTGTTTTCCTCAGCGTGTCCCTCAGCTCTAAAGCTGTTCATTCTCAGATTTACCATACTATACGCATCGTACCTGCTACTCATCTCTATTTAATCGAGTTCTCCCCCTTTTTTGCCCCAAATCTCAAGCATCCCGAGGTTGCCGATTTCGATCACCTGTTTCTTGCAATGGCGTTTTGTGGGGTTTTTAGATTTCAGGGAGTGGCAGGTCTGCACATAAGCTTATTATGCCTCCTCCCCATCCAAACCATACAGCAATGGGGCTCAAGGATGACATATCAGAACTCCACTTTAGAAAGTGTCATTTCCATTGCCAAGATAACCACGGGTATACACACGAGCGTTAAAAAACCCCAAATAAGTTGCTGTATATGCGTCTGATATTAGCTGTGTACTTCGTAAAGACCAGTGTGTAAACCCTCAGCCTCTCGTGAAACGCTTAGAATTTAACACGGGTCTGCACATAAAAGAAGTGCAAATCCTACATAACATAGTGCAGAAATGACCACAGCGATGTCCTAATTTTATAAAATGTCATGAAATAATGATGTACGCTTCATTTCCAGCGAGATGCTTTCATCTTCAGAGACTGAGTGGTTGGCAGGTGCTCTGGTATGGATTGCTCCTTCTTTCCTATCGGACATTTATCGTTCTTATCTAGCCTCCTTCTTTTCTTTGTATGTTACTCTCAAGAAGTACCACCTCTAATTTTCGGTACTTATGTGACCTAATTGTGTTGCAAGTGCAACATCTAATTTTTAAATAAATTTAGAAAAAAAGGAGAGGTTTCCAAAATTTCCCATGGACTGAGCTTGGCCTTATCAGAGTCTGGCTTCTGCACAAACCTCACACTGTTCTTTGACAATCGTGGAAGTTGAGGGATTTATTGGATTCTTTTGTTTTTCACATTCCTTACCCCACCACACTTTCTGGTTTCGTTTTAGTAAGAGTTTTGCAGCACTTGCAACGTATTTGGGTCACATGAATGCTGAAGCTTAGAGGTTTTATTTGAGAGTAACATTCCAGGCATAACGTAAAGGAGAAGGAAGAGATAATAAGGAAGATACACATTTGAAAGGAGTGAAGGAGCAAGCCACACCAGGACATCCGCCCACCACCCACTCGATCCCACACTTTCTCTAAAACTGAGACTGCTATTTTCAGATCAAAATCATGGCGGACTCAAAACTGAAATTGAATTATTTCAATGTGAAGGGCCGGGCTGAGCTGTCCAGACTAGTGCTGGCGGCTGCCGGGAAGGAATATGAGGATTTACGGTTCTCACGCGAAGAGTGGCCCAATTACAAAAAGGGTGAGTCAAAGAGGTTATATTTAGCACTAGAGTTCGTAGCTTTGATGTACCCACGTGAGCGACGAATGGGGGCTGTCTGTGCCGATTTTTGGACATTGAGCCTCAAGAGCAAGACATGCGCATTTCAACAGACGGGTGAGTACTTTTCGAGACTAACGTGGAGGCGCCTCGGAGGTCTAAGCAGGAAATCTACAAGCTAGTACTAAAAAATATGGGGACAGGGTGGTGTTAATATACTAGAGCCCGTGGGAAACGGGGTGGGGGCTCAGATTGTTCATGTAAATGGCGGCACGCCGGCTCTGCGCTTTTCCCTTTCGTCAACCCGCAGCCACCTCCCGAATCGTCAGCCACCCCCAACCTTTGACACGGGTCAAACTTCCATCTATTTATAGGTAGTTAAATCTACCGGAACATGTATTAGGCGTAGTGATGTGCAATGATAGTCGCAATAGAGAGATTGTTTTGGTCTCTCTTTACTCATCTGCACCACACGAATTTAATTGATGTTAGTTGTAATCTAATTGCAGGTTGCAGATTTAATAAATTGCCTACAGAGAGAGAGAGAGAGAGAGAGAGAGAGAGAGAGAGAGAGAGAGAGAGAGAAGGGGGAGGAGTAGATCTTGCGAGAACTTTCGGGCAAAACAAAATGGCGACTCGCGTAGTTCGGTCGATTCGAAAAGTGAAAGAACCATAGCATCTTTGTAGACGATCAAATTAGCTTACTTTTGTGCTATAACGTCATTTTTTTCTTTGCTTTTGTCAGTTTGATCATCCACACCGATAGAAAGCATTTCGAAATTAGGAAAAACAGGTCTTGTTTCACACTGGGTGAGAATAGCCAACGCTGGCAAGTCTCACCCGTGGTGAGAGGTCAATCGTAGGGTTTTTATTCTCACCTTGGGCGAGGATAGCCACTTCCTTACTTAAATGATTAGGTGATTAAACTTGATCTCTTATTGACAATATAAAGTCAATTTAAGCTTCATTTCGTTAGAAAACAATGTGTTAGGTTTGCTAACTTCTTAGACTTTGTGTTAAACAACACTTTTAACAAAACGAGTCCCTACAAGCCTAGGCTTGGCCTTTGTAATCTCGAAGGTTTAGAAGTAGAAGTAGAAGAGTCTACTACTAGAGTCTAGTCCAATTTATTTAATCTCTTGAATGTACTGGATAACAACAGAAATCTGCAACCTGCCACTAGATTACAACTCTAGATCTATATCTAGATTCGAGATTTTAGTAAAGGCAGAGTCCAGGGAAAAACTTCAAGAAATTCTCGTGGTGATGAGTAAAGAGAGACCAAAACAATCTCAATAAATAATATATCGCGACTATCACGGCACATCACTTCACCTATACATGTTCCGGTAACTATCTATAAATAGATGGAAGTTTGACCCGTGTCAAAGGTTGGGGGGTGGCTGACGATTCGGGAGGTGGCTGCGGGTTGACGAAAGGGAAAAGCGCGCCGGCTCTACCGATGAGGGTACGAAGGCTCCCCATGTCTGACACGTGTGGCGTCACTGCTGCGAGCTCTAGTGTTATAATATAAAACCTGTTTGGCGTGAGTTGATTTCTTTTTGTTTCTCCCCAAACAGGAAATAATATGTCTATAAAATAATATGTATATCATTACCGATTTCACTATGATAGTATGAATGTGAGGGCTCAGGTGACTAAGTAATAAATAGTTTGTTTAGACTCAAGAGAAAAGTCAAGCAGGTGTCGGTGACACGGGGATCAGAAGTGTGGCCACTTGGGTGTGACAACCCTTGCTCAACAAACAGGAAGCTGCTGACATTGGCGACCACCAATGACACGGCTGTGAAATTGCTCTGTGTTGGTGTCATATTGTATATTTATGTATGCATCATCATCATCATCATCATCATCATCATCATTGCCTTTCTCACCTTGCACTAGGATATAGGCCACGGACATACACTTTCCCCCTTTCTTTATCCTGGGCTAGCCTCTTGATGTTATTCCATGTCTTCCCACTTTTCTGTACCCCAATCTCTGTATTAATGTATCATGCATGTATTTATAATTATGTATTTGTTATGAATGATTCTTTGTTTGCCATTGTTAATCAAATTACCCATCTAGAATCAGTAAAAAAAATTTTTTTTAAAAATATTTATATGAGCTAGCGTTAGTCCAAAGAACATAGATTCTTTGTATGTATGTTCATTCACTTGTGCGTTGTGTTGATATGAAGGAATGGTGTCTGTGATGTAGTGGTTAGGCACCTCGCTGATACACGCAGAAGACCCGAGTCCGATTCCAAGTTGGGAAAATGTTTATATAACATCTCGGTCTTTCTCCTGGGACGTTGTATCCTTCTCAGTCCAAGTGGGCCCTGACAGGCAGGGTCGGATGCCCACTTCTAAAAAGATCTAAATTATGACAACGGGGGCGTGAAAGAGTTCATTGAAATGAATAAATAAAGCCCCAGGATTGTACATTTATACGAGGTCATTGTTGAGGTGTATATTGAAATGTCTCGTTCGCGTGAGAGAACTTTATAAACAATGCTTATTTCGAGTGTCCTGGCAATAAAATTCTCATAGGTAAATTAATCAACTACCGGATTTACTTCACTCAGCTTCAAACAGAATGTTATATCCAACGAGAGATCAATTGGTGAATTTGAAGGAGTGGTCCAACCGAGAAAGTCAATGTTAAAAAAAACCCCAATTAGCTATGACTATGATGGGGCCATTCTTCATCTTTCGTGTTTATTTGAGGAAAGTGTAGTAGCCATGTGCTCTGCTGTTGCGTGCAGGGGACCAGTATTCCATTCCCGATGTAGTGAGGAGACTATCTCATTTTATCGAGTATCTCGGTCTGTATACTGGAACGTTGTATCTCTCTCAGCAAGGGTTGGCCCATGATGAGCGACACAAATTGGCTATTCCATGAAAAGTGACACCCTTCACGCAGAGATGGTGACCTACTGAAAAAAAAATCTAAGCAGTGATATGACCATTCTTTACTCCTTTTTTGTGGGTGGTTGGCAGGTGCTCTGGTGTGAGTTATTCATTTTTTGTGTTTGTTACATTCTGGTAACACCTCTAGTTTTGGACACTTATAAGACTTAATTGTGTTGCAAGTGCCGCAATACGCTTACTAAAACAAAAATCAAACACACACACAAAATAAAGAATGGCTCAATCAGAGCTTAAATACTTTTTACAGCAGGTTACGTGGGTCTCGTTTCATGAAATAGCCCAAATAAGCACTTACACTATTTCACAACTCTAATTACTGTGCTTTCCCTTGCTTTTTTACTCTAGCAACCCCGTTTGGGCAAACTCCCACATTGGAGGTGGACGGTAAACTTATCGCACAATCCACGGCTATTGCAGCGTTCTTGGCTCGTGAGTTTGGTAAGTACGGGTAGCAGTCAGACGTTTTGTTGTCGCACGCAGGAGACCCGAGTTCAATTCCCGAGTGAGGAGAATATTAAATCGAGTCTTTCGATCTTTCTACTGGAATCTTGTATATTATATATCCCTCTCAGCACAGGTTGGGTCTCTGTAAAATTAAATGGGAGTTAATTGGGTTTAGTCTGGATATTAAATTGCAATAGTATTTTGGGAGGTATTATCTCCCCTGCATAACCAGACCTGTATTTTGTTGTACATACTTTTTCTCGATTAATATTATGATATTTATTCACCAATGTTGGTGCGAAGCCACTTTTTAGTTTAATTGATTTCGCACAATTTTGCCTAGTCAAATTTTTAAAGGTCAGTTTTGAGTGACCATAACTCGGACGACTCTCAACACAGATGGAATATATGTGTCAGATGATGCAGAATTTATTTAGCTTTAAATTGGTATGTTGCATGAGTGGGTAGTGCAAAGCTTTAACACGATGATTGGGTGATTATATTTTCAAGTTTCTTTTGAACGCCACTATATAAAAAGTGATTTCACTCATGTCACGGGTTTCTCCGGCAAGGAGCAGTCACTAAGCGACCCTGTGAGCAAACGGTCGATTTCCAAGTTATTTCTGTTATGTCGTTATGTCAAAACTGTTACCACATGCACACTGTTTAGCAAATTAAGTCAGGGAAAACCAGATTAGTCTCCATCGTGGCACGATTCGATGAATTCGTTTGTGACTTAAAAACGGTCAACGATCGGATGTGTGTAGCCAAATCACAAAAAAGAAGTAACATATGTTGAGTTGAATGATTTTTTTCATGAAGTTTCATTTCAGGTTGTTATTTTAATTATATTTGGCTAAATATTCAGAAGGAGTTTAAATGAATTTTAATTTTGCTAGTCTCTCTCTCTCTCTCTCTCTCTCTCTCTCTCTCTTTCTCTCTCTCTCTCCCTCTCTCTCTCTCACCCCTTTTAACTTCCTGAGGATCATAGACCATGAACAACATTTCTTCAGCGAAGCCTGTCCTGTGCATCCTTTTCTAGCTGTTTCCATGATGTCCCCACCTTTTCCATTTCCGTTTGTACCGCTCGCCTCCATGTCATCTCTGTTCTTCCTTTCTTACGTTTTCCTTGTGGATTCCACGTCAAAGAATGTCTGATAATGCTTGTCGGGGGTCTCCTCAGGGTGTGCCCAATCCATTTCCATTTCTTCCGTAAAGAATCCCTGCCGCAGTGTCGATATCTGCCTTGAGAACTTCTGGGGGAATTCCATCTGGGCTGGCCGCCTTTCCTGCTTTCTTGTGTCTTATCGCCTCCTTGATATCTTCTAAACTGGGCTTTTCTTCCCTGACCTCCAGATCAATCTCTGCTGGTGGAATGTCAAACTGTTTTTCTGGCCTTGATCTGTTCAGTAGCTCATTGAAATGCTCCTTCCAGCGTTCTTTCTGTTCGTCTCGATTTGTGAGCTTTCCTTCTTTATATTTAAAGGAGAGGGGGG